TAGCCGAGCACACGGTGCAGCTGCTGTCATTAACCTATATGACTTCTTCATGGCAGCTCAGCAGCTTGAAAATGACAGCTGGTTAACAGGTAGTATTTATGAGCAGCGGTTATTCTTATTTTACTCATTCCACTGACAACAGAAACAAAAAAAAATATGTAAATGAGAGCAACTATATTGTGAATTAGAGCAGGAGGACAGTGAACGGAGGTGTAACAGGCTGTCTCGAGCTGCGTAGTGACAATCAGCTATGAGGCAGCGAAGTTACACAACTATTCTTTATCTCTAACTTTTATCTCTCTTTTCTTGAGATTGCCCATTAAAATGTCAATATATGAAACAGCGCAGATGCTGTCATCAACCTGTATTTAAGACATTTTTATCAGACGACCATAAAATAATAATTTAAGTTGAGCTGCCTGGTTGCTGTGGTGCAGTTTGATGTTTAGATCTGAAAAGAAGACGTGTTTCACTGAGGACAGATGTCTCTACTCAAAAAATCTGGATACACAAATGTGGATGCAAATCATTTTCCCATGAAATAAGAGTTCTGAAATTCAGTCGGCCTAATATAGACATCATCTTAGTGATGCTGCATACTTGCCAAAAAATGTTGGAACTTGACGTTGCTGGGTAATTTTATCTATTTGTTGATGGAATTTTATTGCGTATGAACCTCGTGTTTTCATTTGATCATGCCAAGTTATTTTATATATTTGTATTTAAGTATATTTATGTATGCATCCGTTAACTAACTGTCTGTGCCAAAACACTGCAATGCAACACTGGCACTTTCAGACTTCTCTACTCTGCAGAGTTCTCAGAAAGCTCTGGTTTTGGTTGGGGAGGACAGGAGGCAAAAAAAGAAATTTTCTTTAGCCAGCTTAGTGTCGACATGGCTTCAACTTCAGGAATTCAAATTTCAACACAGCAGATTAACCATTTGTTGACTTACACAGCATCCACTGACATGCACTGTGCTACAATTAAATGTACAATTGTAGCAAATGTAAGTGACCACAGGATAGAGTAACTCTCCTAATTAAGGAAAAGCCCAGCTGAATATCATGCTCAGACTCCCCTTGTGTTTGTTTTTTAGAGAGGAATCCTGACATCTCTTCCTTGTCAGCCCTCTCCATGCACACACACACTGAGACAGGGATTGAGACACCAATACTCTTTCTGAGAGCTTTTACTGAGTAATTACCAACTTATCGATGATTCCACACAACATTAATCCAACCAATGGATTTTCGCGTTGGGAGCTGTATAGCAGAATGAGCTCATAAAGAGGATGGGAAGCGAGAGGTAGAGGGACAGCGGTATGTTTGAGCGATGGTACCATCAAGCGACAGAGACTTCTCCCCAAGGAGACATCGCCCAGATATACTCTTCGCTTCATGTCACCCTGTGGAGCTGGAAAGCACTCAGGTGGTGGAGAGTCAATGTGGGACTCAACAACACTTTTGCACAGAGACAAAGACTGGCACACATGGCTGCACACTCATCGACACACAGAGCCTACCACACACACACCCAAGCAGTCAGCTGTAAACACCAGTGGTGGAATGTAACTAAGGCCACATCCACCTTCTTATTTTAAAAAAATTTAAATGAAAAACAATCAAACAATCAATGTGATTGGTTGCTTAGTTAAAGAAAGAAAATGTTATGGAGATGACCGAAAAATTGGACAAGAGATTTTTTACTTAGACCGACGCTGATGTGAAACTGTTAGAAAGTACCACATTAGTATAAAGTGATGTAAAACAGACTGGTAACATATTATATATCGTAAAATTGTAATATGGTAATATATTAGAGCGGTACCAGGCGCGTTGTCCATCGCGAGAGGAAGCCATGGCAATGGGAAAGGTGCGCCCACACAGGAATAAGGTCACAAAAATTGCGTATATGCAGCTATTATATTTAGGCTTGAAACGTCATGAATGCTAAAACTCAATCGGGAACTGAACATGGGTGTCCACGTCCTTGTTTTTAATAGTCTGCCAATCCAGACTAAAACGCAAAGTAAAACGGGGTCAGCAGCATTTTCAAAGGTCTCCGTTTTAGGCCTTCCAAAATGCTGCAGTAGTGTGGATGCTAGGCGGAAACACAGCAATCATTATGCATTTTAAAATGAAAATGTATTAGTGTGGATGTGGCGAAGTACATTCCCTCAAGTACTGTATTGAAGTACAATTTTGAGGTACATTTTCTGCTACTTTATACTTCTACACACCTCTATCTCAGAGGGAAATACAGGAAAAGACAGCTTTAGTGGCTTTGCGGAATCAGATTAATTACACAATGTAATTAACACATAAATTATGATGTATTATTATGGAAGACTTGACTGCACCCGGTCAGTGTATAGAGTAGAACATAGGCTCCACACACACTAAAGCATCAATAATTAAAATACAATGATAAAATATACAGTATTAGGGCTGAACGATATGGAGAAAATTTCATATCTCGATATTTATGCCAGATATCCCGATACCAATACGATACAATATGACTATGGGTTCAGTGAAAACTAAGCATTCTTTATAAAAAATTAAAAAAAAAAAAAAAAAAAAAAAAAAAAAAAACGAGTCCGAACCATTTTCTGGAAGCCCTCTTTAGTGACTGAATACACGGGAATCATGTGTAGCAATATGGTACGTTATAGCATTTGTAATGTCTTTGTGCCTGCTGGACGTCGATTGGTATGGCATTATGCTACTGAATGCATCGGCAATCCGACCTTGCTTGGGCTTGACACAGGAGGACCCAGATGTCCCTGCCGTGTCTTTTAATGCAAGGCACTGTTCATACAGTCCTCGGTAGTGTTGTCACGGTACCAAAATTGGGACCCATGGTACGATACCAGTGAAAGTATCACGGTTCTGAGTAGTATCAGGATACCACAGCCAAAATGAGGCAGATGTGCCTTTTGTCATTTATAAAAAGATAAATCACTTTTCTATAATACATCAATGATATTTCAATGGAATAAATTACTTATTGACTTATTCATACTTCAAAAACAGCATCAATCAGTGATTAACACAGGGGGGATCAAAATAAAATAAATAAATAAATAAAATAAAAATCAACCAGCCACCCTCCTCCCCTGACAAGTAAAGAACAGTCCCTTCATAAGTAAAGAACAGTCCCTAAAGTGCGGTGAGGTTTGTGGAAATGTTAACGGCTCGTTTCTCCTCTGACACGTCACATACCTGTGTGCCGCTACGGCTCGGCTGTTCCGGTACTACTGGGCAGTCATGACACCAACTTATTCACCTGGAGCCGGGCTTCTCGGTCGCCGGTAGCCTCGCGTCACCAGGCTCTTCACGTACGGCGAAACGCCGGTAAACCACGTTATCTTGCGGCGGCCATAGCGCTCCGCCGTATTCCCGTCTGTGACCCCCGTTCAACCCACAACCGGTAAGTTTTGCCTTTTGTTTCTGATGCTGGTTGAAATCTGTAATCACACAGCGTGCTGAATGATTTAATTTGCTCGAACAAAACTATTTTTAGTCGCAAATGTGTTGTGTGTACTAGCAAGTTGCTAGCAGTAGCACGTCTCCTTCCCTCAAGGGGATGTTTGTGATTGGCTGGCTTTGTTGTCGATCCAAGGCAAGCAGGAAATGAGGTTTGTGATTGGCTGGCCGTAGCTGTACATTTAGGGCAAGCGTAAAAAGGATGTTTGTGATTGGCTGAGCTGTACATGCAGGTCAAGCTGGGGAAACTCATGGGGAAATTATATCGTCAATATCGTTGCCTTTTGGGATATTAATATCTTGCATGTTCATATCTCGGTATAGATACGATAACGATATATCGTTCAGCCCTATACAGTATTCTGAAATTAGCCATTATGCATAATGAGTACTTTTAGTTTTTGGAGTTAAAGTATATTTTGATGCTAGTACTTTTGTACTTTAACTTAATTAAAATGTAGAATGCAGGCCTTTTTCTATTAATCAAGTTTTTCTACACTCTGGTATTGGTGCTTTTACTTGATTAAAAGACCTGCGTATACACACCACTGGTTAACACACACACAGATAAAAAGGTTGACACACCCTTACACACCCCATACATACATGTTCCAGCCACAGCTGACTGCATGAGTGTGTGCTACAGGTACAGCCCTCCTTGCTGAAGGACATGGCAGGGTTATCCACATGGCTCCATGTGTAATTCGACGGCTCTATGGTCGATCGCTACATTAGCGCTCCAAGGTGCCGAATGAGAGCGAGACACACAGAGAGAGCACATGGACTCGTGGCCACGCACCATCCCTCTTCCACAACGGCAAGCGAGACAAATGCCTTGCAGCCAGCCGCCAAGTATAGAACATGAAACACATGATGAAACATGCAATTAAGAGCTTCTGTGCTGGTGAGGAGCGGAGTGGGGAGACCGCTGGTTACATATTTCCTCACTGATTAATGGAGGAGCGCTGGGAAGGGCGGGGGTTAGCGAACCCGCCAGGAGTGTTGGGAGTGTTGGGTAACGAGGCGCGGTGGCAGATTTATGCCCCCCTCCCCCTCCCCCCAATCTTATGTGCCCGTGACAAAGTGCCCCCTAGCCCCCCATCCCATCTCCTTGAAATACCATTACATGTTCGCATGCAGCAGGCCAGCGGAGATGGAATGAAGATGGGCATTAATGCTAATGAGAATTGGGCTTTAGCCTTTTGTCTCATGTCCCAGTGGCTCTTTCCATCTTTCCTTCGCCCCAGTCCATATCCCCATCACACGCCTCTCCCTCTCTCACCTGTCCAGACAAACTAATTCTCTTTCCCTCACCTCCCCAGCACCAATCCACCATAACTCGCAGCCTCTGACAACACACTGCACCCTCTGCACATGCACCTTGATGTCCAATACGTCCCACTTCTTTTCTCTTCAGCCAGTCTCATATTTCATTGCACTTCGTCTCCAGGCTCACCCATTATGTCCGTCCCCCTGCTGTGTATCTGTGTGTGTGTGAGAGAGATTTACCTTCAGTCTGTCTGTGGGCAGGGCCTGGGCTCCTTTCATAATGACTTCCTGAACCCTCTCAACAGACAGGTCACTTCCCGCCTGCTCCAGACGCTGACTGAAGAAGCCGATCACCTAAAAGGTCACATGAGAGGAAACGGTCAATCACAATGCAGAACCTAAATTTGCCAGAGATACATTTGGTCTAATAGAGATGATTTCTAATGCATACAATTCAACATATATGAAAATATGCTCACTTGCTTTCATGGTGAGAGTTTGATAAGAAAATACCACTCTCATATCTGTTCAGTTAATATGAAGGTACAGCCAGGAGACAGTTAGCTTAGCATAACGACTGGAAGCAGGGGGAAACAGCTCGCATCGTTCTGTCCAAAAGGAACAAAATCTGCCTACCAGCGCCTCTAGAGCTTGCTTAGTACCATTTTGAATCTCATTGAAAATTTAAACAAAAAAATGTAAACATACTTAAGACCACAACCTGTTGTACAATTTGATTTTGAGATACCTGATTTTATCATGGACACACCTGTATTAGCGTGTTCTTGGTACATACATATGTAAAGAGTGCATACCAGTAAAAAATGTGTATAGCCGAGTTAAATTTTCCTCAATTCAAGTTCAACTATCTTTGATTTGTATGTTTTTATTTAAGTATTTTGAAGCTCAAAATGAACAGTACATATATCCCCATTTTTCAAAAATTACCCCATTTATGCATTGGTTTTTTATGCAGGAAAACTTGCTAAAAATAGGCGACAGACCACATATACCACTGTGTACACGACTCTGCAGTAGATGAATATGCCTTTCTTTTTGTTTTTTGTTTTCTTTCTGGTGTGTCACGTCACGTCACAAACACTCCAGAAAACAGGTGAGTAAACAGTAGAAAGCAGCATGGTGGTCAGTGGAAAACATCACCGTGGTAACGTGATTAAAACTTGGCACTGACTAATTTGGAACAATGTTCGAGCACTGCTTGGATGGAGATGGACAGAGTCTGTGGCTGGAAAAAGGATGAGAATTAGCACGTCCCCCCCGGGTGTCCATTTCCATCACTGCTAATTGGAACTGGTGCCGATAAATACTTTTGACTACTGCAGAGAAATTCGTCCTGGGAATAAATTCAGATAGTAACCTTTCCCACTGAATGCTTACTGTTTTTTTTTCTTATTATGTGTCACGTTCAACGGCACAAACATGCTGGAAAACAGGTTAGTAAACAGTAGAAAGCAGCATGGAGGCCAGTGGAAAACAACACAGTGATTACTTCTTCAAAACTTGGCACTGACTAATTGGAACAACATTCAAGTGCTGCTGGGATGGAGGTGGACAGAGTTTGTGGCTGGAAAAAGGCCGAAAATTAGCACTTCACCCCAGGTGTCCATTTCCATCACTGCTGACTGGAGCTGGAGCCGATAAATACTTGTGACTACTGAAGAGAAATTTGTCTCAGGAATGAAATCAGATAGAAACCTTTCCCCCAAAGACAAAAGGCCAGTAGTTAGTGGGTTTATTGTCCAGTGGGAAAGGGGCTCCATAATAACTGTCAACTGTAAAATATCTTCATCACAAAATGTTTGTATTGGTCTGAGTTTATGTAAGAAAACAAAAATATTAGCTGATATACCATTATATTACTGCTACAGTTCTCAAGTATCAGTGTTGGCCTCAGTACTCCAGTATCTGCCCGCACTCTAATCTAAATCTTCCACCATTAAATCCTGTTCCTGTTTCTTGGCACACAGGATCTCATGTAATCTTGATCCCACCGAGGTTTAATATCAACTCCCAGTTCCGTCATGAAGCTCTTTGACTCTTTTAATCCCTCTGTTTGGAGCTGTCACATGTTGATGTTGCAGCAGCCACACCCTATATGATGACACTGGGTGCAATATGGAGATCTAAGTTAGAACAAAGTGGCATCACGCTACATATAGAGGGCTCCGTTCTGTAAACACTAACACTGGCAAATGTTCCAACTTGTAACAATACATGTTAACAGAAAAACAAGCTTTCTGCTGCTTTTGCATCAACACCCAACAAAACGGGTTGTCATGTTTCCTAGCAACAGTAAGTTGCTCCAAAAATGGGTCTATATTATGCAGGGATACAGAGCTACATATAGCATAATTTAAATGGCAATTATATGACATTACTGATTGCAAGTATTTGCAAATAATTGCAAATAATTGGATAAAAGTTGAGAAATTGGCTATAAAACTGCATGAGTTCTGCTTTAGAAAGTGAGAAACCTCTAAAACAAATTGAAAATGCTATGGACATAGGCTCAGCTAATATGCCTGTAGGCTACATGCTCAGAAAGTACATACATGCAGTATTTCAGATTACAAATTCACCATAGGGTTTGAGCATGTTTCATCCCACTTAAAATGAACACTTCACTGGAGCTCAAATTATCTGATGCCTTCTGGGTTTAAGCCCAAAAAGAGATCAAGGAAACTGTATTTTGCGTTTCCACTGCTGTGCTAGCCTCTTCCCCGGAGAAATGTTTGATATTTGATCATTAAAAAAAACTCTAGGTATTACTGATTCTTTTTAATGCTCTTTTTTGTCAAACCAACAGTGAAAAATGCATCTACAGGCAATGTTTTCTCTGCTCACGCTCTGTGGTTGCTTTAGAGTTCAAACACACCAGAGCTTACATGAGCACTGTATGTGTGTGTGTATGTGTGTGTCTATCTAATACTAATCTCTTCATTAACTCCGAAGGCCTCCCATATGGGGTTAATTTAGAGGAGCAAAAAAACGGCCCCTCATCCTGAATCTCATGCTCACATACACGGATTTGCAAGCGCAGGGAAGGCTTCGGAGAATAGCCTCGGGGAGACTGACTTAACTGAGGGATTCTAGATAGCATGCTTCCCTCATACTTATGGATAACAGCAAAACCCATGGCTATGTATGCAGCAACCCCCATCCCTCACACATACGCACTCATACACACCAAAGCTTCCTTTGCTCCTCTATATGACAAATACAACTCTGAATGACAGCTTTCTCTCACACTCTTCCTTCCTCCCCCAACACTCAATGAATATTTGACACAGCCTCTCGACACAAGGGGACTGATTAATTCATCAATACTACTTAAGCTCACAGGGCTCGGCGTGCCGTACAGTCCAACTGCACACTATGTTAACGATGCAGTTCGCATATGTTCCAGCGCTGCCTGGCTTTTTGAAACTTTCCCTGCAGACTGAGAGGACATTCAGGGGAAAATCTGTGTAACCTTGATCTATGGAATAATTACCACAAATCAGCCATGAGGCAAAGCGCTCTCAGGCTTGAGCTTCTCTTAATTCACTTCTGATATGAAAACTTCGACTGACCGTGTCCAGGTTCTGCATGATGTCCTGGAAGGATGGGTGTGTCCTAAACTGCTCAAAGAGCTCCCTCTTGTAGAGCAGCGCGTACACCAGGTTGGGGTTGTGGTGTAGAGAGTTGCACAAGCAAGAGTTGATGATTTCCAACATCATGCGGATCACCTCCTCAATCACATTCAGGTCCTGTGCCTGGGGGGAGAGGGAGGATGTAAAGGTTAATTGGTTTCCCACTACACTGGTTTCACTTATAATGGTGTTTTTTAAATGATTGCTTCCTGATAGATTGATCAGCAGGGGGGAACAGAGAGGTGGAGGAAACGGCAGAAGGAGGGAAAGAAGGATGAAAGTTGACAGCCAAGGTCTAAGTGAGGGACAGATAGGTGACCTTGTGCGCCACAGATCAGGTCATGTCACAGCAGGTTTCCTCTTGGGGCAAAGACAACTGTCGGTAAGTGACAGGTGACAGTATGAGAGGAGAAGGGTGTGGGAATGATGCGGTTTAGTGGCTGACGTGATATGTTATTTACAAAGTTCTTCAAGCAAGGTAGGCTTGTCACAACTCAAAGTAAAAGCAATGACATTCAGAAATACAGATATCAAGCAGAGAAAACTACACATCACAGAGCTGTAAAAGGCAGGAGCTTGTATGTATGAGTGTGCTGCAGTTACAGGAGCTCAAGCTCCGTTAAAGGAGTAGTTTGACATTTTGGGAAATACAACTTCTCAATTTCTGGGTGAAATGAGAGGACAGATACCATGGAGAGTCGGCGTAGCTTAGCATAAAGACTGGAAACATCATCCCATCTAGCCACTTGAATCCAATCAAGTATTGGAGTTCTAACACACCAAGCTGAGGGTCGGCTGTTGGTCAGTGTCGGGCCGTTGATGAGTGTCTGTTGCCCTAGTTTTTGTGTTTTGTGCAGCACTGTTGGCACTAGTTGGCCCTTGACATTTTGTTTTCTGGCTGAATCTGCATCAGAGACGGCGGTGCCCATCAGTGAATGAAATCACTGTTATTGGCAGTTCAGCTCAGCACATGAGAAGAGAAAAAGAAGTGAGGAAAGTAAACAACTACAGTCATTGCCATTGATTTCTTTAGCAGAACCAGTCCGTAATTGTTTGTGTTATTATTCGCGAGCGTGCAGTAGATATTCTTTGTTCTTACAATGTCCTTTCAACCCTACCCAATCCCACTTCTCTTGCCTTAACCTAACCAATACAACTAACTAAGGCAACAAGTACTTGCCAATCATAAGGAGAGTAGAGCAAGTCAATCTTTCCCTATCCTCTGATTTTCAAATTTGTGTCCTGACAGTCCTCTGATTTCCCTTTTCGAATGACTAATACAGACTACCGCCGCCTGCTGGTATGGAAAATTATTTCCTCTCGTGCAGGTGCAGAACATATGTGCTAGTTGGCTATTGGCTGTAGTCTTTGCGGCGTGTCCAAGTAAAGAGACACAGACAATGTGGGGCGACACAACAGTCAGCCTTTGTTGCCACAAGTTCTTTACATATTAACACACATACCAAGATGCGCAGCAATATAACAGGACACCATGCAACCCAATTAGACTGAATATAATTCCAAACCTGCCCTGATTTCTTGGTTTGAGAATAGTCAGGAGAACACATTAAGCTACCAGTTTATTAGGTACATCTGAGCCATTTAAATACTCCTACATTTGGAAAGCTTCAGCTTATTTGAGACTGTGAGCGTTTTGGTGCTATAAAACTTTTGACCTTTGTACCACCAACTGTAGCTCTTAAATATAGTTATCCCACAGCCACACATCACTACTTTGGTACTTTCAAGGAAATTGGTCTTCTCATTATTGTGGAAATCTAAGCAGCAAGGTAAAATCTAATCAGACGATCTGCTCTACTGTGGTTTAAGAACAGAGATTCTATCATGCATTGTTCTTCTGTTACTCTGCTCATAACAATGTGTCTACACAGACTCACAGACAGACAGACAGATAGACAGACGCCGCAGTGACGAGATAACGTCCCACACGGCTTGTACCATTGTGGCACAGAAAGGAAACGACAGAGAGACTGTGGGAAAACGAATAATCTTTTAAGAGATAAAAAAAACAGGCAGCGAGGAATTGGCGAATACAGTTCAAGACATGATGTATGATTTCCCGTGGTGTGACAACTGCGGGCAGAGCATTGCAAAATCTATCATGTACTGATGGTATTATAGATAAGATCCCTAGAAGATTCAGTCAGTTTCCAAACCAATCTAAAAATACAGAACAATGAATAGTAACATGCTTCATCTCGAGGAAAACAAACACGACTAGCAAAATGGACTTGAAGGAAGGCGTGCTGTTCTTTTACTTGCCAAAAAGCAAAAACAATAAATATATAGGACTTCGGTACAAGATCTTATAGCAAGTGTATTTGAAAAAAGTGTTCCATCAAATGCAGAGAAGCTGATTTGCCTGAGATGTATCTGCTCCCTAAACAGCATGTCTATGTCGGGCAGAACAAAGACAACTAAGAAGAAGCTAAGACAAAAATGCAGACTAAGAGAATGCAGGAGTCAAGAACATTCAAAGTAGCTTAGCTTAATGCGATCATGCACTAATGAAATAAGTCCAATTGCAGAATGACCAACACTGTAACACACACGGTAAAGATCCTCTAACCCTGATCCTGGGTCTGTATGATTAGCAGGAATAGCATGACCGAGTCGCACTGAAAAGCTGTATGATTTTCAGTAAATCTGATAATGAACAGGACCGCGAGGCCCCGCAAAGAGTGATTCCTTCAGCTGAACATACAATAGGCTCTGCTCTACCCTGCCTAAAGAATATTTATATCAAGCATTGCAAGACTGTCAGGATAATGTCGTTTTCTACCTGCTGAAGTCAGGAAGAAGGTACCAAATATACCAGGCCAGCACTGAGAGGCTCAGGAAGAGCTTCTACACTCAGGCCACTGACCAAAGTCCTTCTTTTTACAGAAACATTTTTATAAGAACGCCTTAAACTAGTTATTAAAAGATGGAGACCAGGATCTGATTCAGAGATGTACTGAGTGGGATACTTAACAGTTGAAAAATTAATGTGTAATGGCTTTAATGGTTCTAAATTACTAACACTGCTAAAATTACTTTTAATATTGGCCTATATATCCAATCTGTATTGGAAAAATAAACTCAATACAGGCATTTAACCCTAAAATACAAAGAAAAACTTTCATGGTATACACACTGAGTACTCACATCAGAATGACTGGACCGTCATGTCTGTATTAATCATCAATGGGCTATTCTACAGCAGACAGTTTGACTTGTTATATAAGCGCAGGCTTTACTGTTAATATATTAATGTTATTAGGCTCCGTTCCATTCAAGTGTCTTTCAATGTCTTCCTAACATGTTCACTACATGTCTACATAAAACAAATATAAGATTAATTCTACATGACAGCCTCTCTCCTCTGTTAACATGTGCCTCTACAGCAAGTATTCAGCAGATATGCATAGCTTTCCTTTTTTTTAAATTTTTTTTATTAAGATATTTTCCTGGGCATTTTAGCCTTTAATTGACAGGACAGGTGAGTGTGAAAGGGGGAGAGAGAGAGAGGGAGTGACATACAGCAAAGGGCCACAGGTTGGACTCAAACCCAGGCCGCAGCGGCAACAGCCTTGTACATGGGGCGCCTGCTCTATCCACGAAGCCACCGACACCCCATGCATAGCTTTCCTGCAGTGTGTGGGCATCAAGTCACATACAGACCACCACTCTTTAGCTATTACAAAAAAAGCAGCCTGTATAACAATCACGATGTGACAGTAGCCCAGAAAGCAACTAAATAGGTCTGTGACATTTAAAAAGTGACACCTGAACAAGAAAATAAGCAAAACATCTCAACTACATGACTGTATCATTGCAACAATTGTAGGTTTCTGAAAAAGATAAATAATTGGTCCCAAAACTCGAATCACTATCTGGCCGTAGACAGACCTCATCAGAAACTTCCTCAGGTGTTACATCCTGCCTCATTTCAGATTTGAAATGAGATAAAAAAAAATATTCAGCTAAAGTACTGCAATTACTGTAAAATATATTACAGTAAGTTGCTGAGCAAGCTGGTTTAACCTCTAATGTGTAGATGTGTAAATAAGCAAAACTTTGTGGTAAAAAAGCTTGTTTTCTCTGTGCCATGAGACATTTAAAACCTAAGAAAGTGTAATAAAGAACATTTGTAAAGTCTGTTTAGCCACATGTTACCATGAAAAGCACAACTTCAAAAAGAATAGTGGCCTTTATGTTCTACAAAGTGAGACTTATCCTTAAGGAGTCATGACAACCATTATTGTTCTGATGACGACCTGTTTTGACCAAGAATTTGCTAATACCAGCTAAAACTAGATTCAAAACAGCAGCTCAGCGAGACTGCAACGGCAAGCTGATTGGAAGCTGAGATTCCACCTCCAATCTGGGCTAACCATCTGTAACAGAACTGCATGTGGTAGCATTTTATATTCCATCTTTGGTGCCCTGCTTCGGAAACAAGTCCTTATCTTATAAATAACTTTGCTTGCTGTGTGGCCCTTTTTTTTTTTGCTGTAACCACACATAAGCATACGCTCAGTCTTATGCACATTAACAAACACAATCACCCCCTGAAAGTAGCCAGAGGGATTAGGATGACTGTAAATAACTGTATTCTGTTGTGCGTTGACCATGAATCAGGCCGGCCACACAGATGCAATAATGCACTGCATTGATTTCCACAAACTGGCAGACAAAGGTGTGTGGCAGTGTGGAGCTTTAACAGGCAGACCTGAAGAGGCAAGTTGAAGGCAGGAGAGCCGGCTATAATGAGGATTGATTGTGTGTCTGGAAGCAGAGGGTGCTCTCTGGGCTCGACTCTACTGCCTAGCTAGACCTGCTCCACTCTGTTCTGCCGTGGCAGGCCATAATTAGACAGAAAGCAGGGACAGATATGGGAGACAACTGAGTGGGAGGAAGAGGAGGCAGAGGAAGGAAGACAGTAACAAAAATGGAAGCAGAGAAGAAGAGAGAAGGAGGGGGAGGTTGATGGAGAAAGTGAACACGATGAAGAGGAGACAAAAGGAGGAGAGGAAGGCAGAGTGGGAGTGAGGGATGCCTAGTGTGTTTGTTCTCTAGCTCTGCACCCAGCTTAATGAGATTAGCCTGGCAGGAAAAAA